CCAGTCCCTACAGACCCCAGTATGGAGGAGGGACGTTCCCCTGCATTTTCCTGTGCAGTTGGCTCTGCATCTGGGCCACTGCTCCCCTCCCTGGTCTGCTTTGATCGCTCCCCTGGCCAAGACTCCACCTCTGGCACCAATCTCTCCATTCTTTGCCAGTTGCCTTCAGGGCACAAACGCCTCGTTAGTGTTTCTAGCAGGCGGGTGATGAACATGTGAACGCATGCCTGTGTGGATTAGGCCTTAGTTTATACTCTTTATAACACAAGGGGGAGTATGTGGAACTCAGAGAGATGGACTTGGCAGGCCTGGGACAGCTGTGAGAACTGCTTCCCAGGGTGCACTCAGGCCTCCAGGGACACAGCAAACGTGTCCTGCTGAGGAAGATCAAGGGCGTCTCCACGAGGAGGAGCCAAGGCCAAAACTATCCGTTAGCTGGTGGTCATGGGGACAGAATGGATCCAGGCTCACAGCCACTCTCTGCAGTGACTGAGCACCTCCGCCAAGGACGAAGCCCCCGATGATGAGAGCCGCTGCCGCTTAGCTAGTCCAGGTCCTCGCCCTTGGGAAGCCTTCTTTCTCCTCTAGGACATTCTCTTGCTTGTGTACGGGAGAGAAGACAAACTGCAAACCAAATTATCAGGTTAATTATGCTTTTGAAGACACCAGAGACAAGGAGGAAGTGAGGGGAGGCTGAGGAGTTCTCAAGCGGTGGCAGAACCTGGCCTCCTCTGACCCTTTTCCCACCTTCAGGGTGAAGTGTCCAGCTTATACCGGCCCACCGCTTTCTGGATAGCCTTGAGAGACCGATGGCTTAACGCATGCCCTTCATCCTGTCACTGTGCCTCAAGCCTTCCTTTTGTTCTTGTGCACCAACATCCTCCTGCACAAACGTGTGGCCAGGCCTGCAACAGGTGAGGAGCTGCCTTCAGCGGCCCCTGCCTCCCTCGCCTCTCTTTCACCCTCCGGCCCATGCCCTGCACCCCACCCGAATCACCCTCCGACACCAAGCCCCAAACACAGTGCCATCTGACCGAGGAAAGGCAGAGAACCGCAGAGGCAACGACCCCCGGCCTAGCACAGCTTTGACTTCTCCAATGAGTGGTCACCGGGTGGGCTCACGTCCTGCCTCTGGACTGCCGCATGCCACAGAATTTCAACTTCTTCCGTGACATGTCTTCACACTGCCTTCACACTGTGTTTTTTTGTTTTGTTTTGTTTTGTTTTGTCTTGTTTTGTTTTTTGACTATGTCAAGGTATCACCCGTCAAAAGTTCCTCTTCCTGCTTGTATCGATCCCGTCCTGCAGTGATGCTGCATACTGGGCCTGCTCCTCTGGCAGCAGCCTTCCTTGGCAGTGTTGATCCAGGCACAGATGTGGCAATACTGTCCTCACCCAGGTCACAGGCACAGAAGGGGTGAAAGGAATCGAGATGCACTTAGGTCCTGGGTACCGTGCTAGGTGAGAAGGAAACATAGTCCTGCAGCTCCTGGGAGCCCAGCAAAGTGTGTGCCCATCGAGGCCTGCACAACAGGCAGTAGGGACCCGTGGCCGGGAAAGAAGAATGGGCACCCTGTGGGGGGAGATGACACATTTTGCACAACACAGTAAAGTGCTAAGAATATAAAAGGTGAAAGGAGCTTTAGTCCATGGTCCAGTGAGGCTGCTACTAAGAGAAATACGGCCAGCAGAATTTGCAAGAGGGCTCACAGCAAGAATGCTCATCCATAGCCCAGCGTGGTGGTGCGCACCTGTAATCCCAGCACTCAGGAGGCTGAAGCAAGCAGTTCACCGTGAGTTTGAGGCCAGCCTGGGACACATAGCGAAACCCTACCTCAAAACAAAAACAAACAAAATACTATTCATCAGAGTCCAAACCAGAAACCACCCAAGAGCCCTCCAGAGGGGGATGAGTAAGAAAATTGCAGGATATTCTCACAGTGGCAACCTCCCATCCTGTAAGTGAGCCTCCCAATGTAGTGAGAGCAAGAGAGCCTGTTCAGTATTACTCACTCATGTCACAGGCAAACCCATCTATGGCACAGAGGCTCCGTGCAGGAAGGGCAGGGACCTGAGGGGCCATGAGGACACTGGGAGGGCGCCGTGATGCTCAGAGCTTTAATCTGAGTGCAGGACACACACCTGCGTTCAGTTTGTAGAAATGATGATGCCTCACCTTGGAAATGTGCACCTCTCTATGTGGCTATCAGACTTTAAGACCAAATTGACCCCATGCATTCCCTTAGTCCAGTGGGGTCCTGTAACAAAAGATCAGACACTGGTGACTTTGAAACAGCACAAACTTATTCCTCACGGTTCTGGAATCTACAAAGTATGAGATGCGTGTCAGGGCTGCTTCCTGCTCAGAGTCACTGTGCCTGTGTGGCAGAAGCAACAAGAGAGCTCCCTCGGGCCTCTTTCACAGGTGCACTAACTCCAGTCCCTGGGCCGCACTCTCCAGCCTAACACCTCCCTCAGGCCCTCCTCCTACCACCACTACCTTGTGGTAGGGTTTGACATGGGGCTTTTGTTTGTTTGTTTGTTTTTGGATTGGGGATGGAACTCGAGCCCTTGTGCTTGCAAGGCAGGCGGTAAACCTCTGAGCTAAATCCCCCGCCCAACACAGGGCTTTGAACAGGACTCAAATGGTCAGACCCCAGCCGCTGCCAGCTCTCTGACAAGGACTGTTTTCCAAGTCCGGTTTCATTCTTTCTCCATCGCTGGGCCCTGAGCGCCTTCAGCAATGGAACCCAACGTATCCATCTCATGCTCTTCCTTGCATAGCCACAAGCCGGGGATCTCCCCACGGGGCACCAGGAGGCCTCTCTGGACACAGTCTGTCCCACACAGGAGGTGGTGCCCTAGCCTCACTGTGCTGATGTGTAAATGCTCTTGTGCAGATCCAGGTCTAATACACGGAGCCTTCCATGCATCCTGGAATTCAGCCTTTCTCCGCTGCTGCTTTTCCGATCCTCTGATTTTCTGGCACTCACACACTGGACAGAGATATACCACAGCCTGTGCAGCGTGGTGCGCCCAGCCCTGCGGCATCTTTCTCGCCTTCCTGTTCTCTCAAGAGGACCCCCGCCCACACCTGACACCCCTCCCGGGACGGTCCTGCCGTACAGGAAGCAGCACACGCCCGCATCCCTCCCTGGCCTCTGCTCACCCTCGCTCTGCTTGTGAGTGCTGAACAGCCGCTGGCCCTGCCGGCCCTCCCACCCGTGTCCTCTGCTCTCCCCACTCCTGTGACCTTGCAGAACAGCCCTTTGTTCAGCGGCAAGAGGAATCTGCAGCTTCGTCGACTCTGACCCAACCTCTTACCCAGTCCTCTGGGCAAAGCCCAGGAAGGGAAGAGAAAGCACAGGCAAGGGACTGAAATAAGGCATCCTGGACCAAGGGCACAGTGGACGGTACAGGATGGAGTGGTGGGCCGGCTGGGCTGTGACCTTGGGCCTATCCAGACCATGGCCTCCCAGTGCCAAGGAGCTGGACGAGAGGATTCTGGGGCCTCTCCCAGCTCTGGTCACCCCAAAGCTGAATTACACATCTCCCCTGGACAATGCCCTGGCCTCTGGGTAGTGAAATATTAGATTTTTCTTCTCTTCTTCATTTTGCAAATAATCCATACTAAGATTACACTATTGATCTACACTGTGTTGTGTGTGTGATTACAAGCACAAAAAGTTTGTGACTCTAAAAATATAGGGCCAGCCCTGGAGTGCATACCTGTAATCCCAGCACTCAGAAGGCTGAGGCTGGGCAAAAGGATTGTTGTGATTTCGAAGACAGGGAGACTCTGTCAAAAGAAAGAATGAAACAAAGAAGGAAAGGGAAGGAAGGAAGAGAAACATCTTTTTTAAAAGTGGGAAATAAAACAGCTCCATGTGGTTGTTCATGCCTATAATCTCAGCACCTAGGAGGCTGAGGCAGGAGGATTGCTGTGAGTTCCAGGTCAGTCTCAACTACACAGTGAGACCCTGTCTCAAAAAACCAAAGAGAGAGAGAGAGAGAGAGAGAGTGCCATTGAGAAGGAAATGAAACACTTTTTTAAAAAACTAAAAGCATAAGAGACAGAAGGCCAAGCTAGAGGCCTCAAGGCCATGGAGAGCTCTGCATCTCTGCAAAAGCACCCTCAGCTGTGGGGTTTTCCCACCTCCTAGCTAGGGTCTTTGTGAACTTCTGGCGCCACCTGCTGGTCATTTCAGAAACAACCTCTGAATTTGCAATTAGGGCTGATCAGCGGTGGGGTCAATTTTAGGATAAAGATTGCATTGTAGTTGCCCGCCCATCTCACCCTATTCTCACCTCCAGAGTTCACTTTCGATTTTGCTTGCAGTAAGGATCGTAACAGGAATATCTGAACCAGTCCCGGCTGTATAGGCTTCCTGGATGGTCACACAGTAACTGTGAGGCCGGAGCCCATGCACAGCTGGGGAACGGTCCCAGTTCTCCCCATGGATGGGCGAAGAGACACCTCGGAGCCCACTGTCGGCCCCACCCGCTGCATGGTGTCATTTGGCTCTGGCTCTGACTCTGGTCACATAGAGCTGTACGTCTTCTCACGAGGCCCAGGGCGGCCCACAGTGCTCACCCACTGCTTAGCTGGCTTTTCCTCCTGACCAGGAATGTGAGGCCCCTCTTCCCGATTGCGGGTCCCCCTGTAGGGCACGGTGGGCCAGGTACATGCTCCCCTTTCGGAGCTGACCCTTCCCCTGGGGCTGCCAGGAGCGGCCCATCTGTTGTGAGAGGCTGGTGGTGAGGAACAGAGCGGCGGCTGTGCCCAGCCAGGCTTTTTGAGCCCCTCTGCGGTGGACACAAGAATTTTCCAATTTTCTCAGGCCTTCTGAACGCCCAGATCCTCGCATGGTTTGTATCAGTCCAGGGTAAGGAGAAAGCCGACCTTCTCAGGATGAAGGAGGGGCCAGGAGCCCCTGATTGGTCCCGCCGGAAGGCAGGGCTGCAGGGAAGCCCCCTCCCCCGCACTCCTATATAGCTGGGCCGGCCTGGCTGCTGAGGCTGGACTGCAGGCCACAGCTTGGGCTCCCGGGCGCTCCCGGCCAGAGGACAGCCAGGTGGCCAGGTAGGTGGGGAAGCTAATCAGGTCTCCACTGCAAACTGAAACGGTGCCGTGACTGCATTCGGCCCGGGTCGGGTCCCCAGGGCAGGAACTTGCGACTGCTCACCTCAGCTGGTCTCCTGTGGCTATGCTTTGATGCGCTTTGATGCTATGATTTAGTACTAGTTTAAGGCTGGCTGCTTGGGAATGTGTTCTGCTTTTTAAGCCCTTGCCAGCCTAAACTAAGTTCTTTCTCAAGAACTCTGCGTTTTTATCTTTCGTTTTTAATTTGACTCACCAAGTCCTATTAGGTTATTACTCTCATTTAAGATTTCCCCTACCGGGCTAGGGATTGAGCTCAGTGGCTGTGCTGCCAGCTTTGCAAGCGCAGTGACCTGAGTTCCATCCCCAGCATGTCCCGCCAAGCGATATGGGCTGGTGACACGGCCTCTCTTTAGGAGACTAACGAGAACTTGCTCTTTGGAGGAAGCTGGTCTGAGCTCAGTGTGATCAGGGCAGAGCAGAGTGGGTGCCCATTCCCACCTAGGGGCAGAGACCAGGCAGTGCCCAGAAGCTCTGGCAACCCTAAGAGCAGGGGCTCTTTGCTGCCTTGCAGAGATGACTGGATGCCCCTTGTGCTGGGTTTTGCCCCTATTTATTTAGTTTTGTTTTTGTCTTTTGAGACAGGGTCTCACTACGTAGTTCAGGCTTTAGGCTAGCGGTGAACTCGCGGTGATCCTCCTGCCAGTCTCCCGGGTGCTAGAACTATAGGCGTGCGCCACCACCATGCCCAGTTCTTGCCCCTCTTTTTAGATGTAAGAGCCAGGGTCACACCAGAGCTGAACATTTTAGCCGACGGATATTAATCACCTTTGCGATGCTGCAGAAGGCATGGAGGGCATGTTGGGGGCTAAGCCAGGAACCTCTCGGCGTCCTCCAGCTCTGCCTCCACAGGCCCTGACTCTTTCCCTGGAAGACAGCTCAGACTGAACGCACTCAGCTACAGGGCGCTTCTGTGTCCAAAGGCCCAGGTGCTGGAATGCCCTGACGGTTGGCCCTGGGGGTGGATTCCCACAATGGCTATTGTTTCAGGAACCAAATCTGGCCTGCTCCCAGGAGGGGGTGGGAGTGACCAGGATGTCAGCGGGCGCTTGGGATCCTGGGGATCACCTTGAGCCAGGATCCCCTTGGAGTTCCCGGGACTCCTTACTTCCCCACATCTCATTTCCCTTGGGACTCAAGGATCTCCAACTTTGCTTGGTTTAGAATCCCTCGTGCCCCGCATCCCCTCCTGAAGTAAGGCTTGGCAGACGGGCACAGGGAGTGGTACCTGGAGTCAGCTCAGGTCACACAGAGCTGAGTGTAAATCTGCCACTGCTGCTGTTTTATAAAAGATAGGAGCAATACTGTATCTACCCCGTGTGAGAAGTTAGGCAGAGTGGACACAGCAGCTGCCACTGTGAGTGCCCAGCAGAGGGCGAATAGGGTGAGCAGGGGGACATTGTGCCCCAGGGGTGGGATTGCAAAAGACATCCCTAGGATATTTTGACCCCTTGACACAGGGGAAGGCTCAGTGGTAAAGCTCTTGCCTGGCATGCATGAGGCTTGGGTTGAATACCCAGTGCTGGGGGGAAAAAAAAAGCCAAGCATAATGGGACATACCTATAATCCTAGCAGTCTGGGAGGCTGAGGCAGGAGGGTTGCAAGTTTGACCCCAGCCCTGACAATTTAGCAACTTAGTGACACCCTCTCTCAAAAGAATGAAAGAAAGAGAGAGAGAGAGAGAGAGAGAGAGAGAGAGAGAGAGAGACAGAGAAATGGGGTGGGGTAGGGTCAGGAGGTCCAGGGATGTAGCCCAATGTAAAATCTGGGGTTTAGTCCAAGAAAAGAAAAACCCTTCTCACTTGGGTGGATCAAGGCAGCCGGGAGCCCAGTGGGGGATACTAACTGCCACCCATGTCTCCCTCAGACTCTGACACAATGAAGACGCCCCTGGGTGTGTGGGTGCTGGCCGTGGTCTGTGTCCTGCTCTTCTGCCACCTCTCCCCGGTCACGGCACGAGGCATAAAGCACAGGATCAAGTGGGGCCGGAAGCCTGCGCCCAGCCCACCGCAGCAGGTCACCGAGGCCCGAGTGGCCACAACCCGTCCAGGGTCCTTCATCAGGCAGGGCCGAAAGCTGGACATCGACTTCGGAGCCGAGGGCAACCGGTACTACGAGGCCAACTACTGGCAGTTCCCCGACGGCATCCACTACGACGGCTGCTCCGAGGCCAACGTGACCAGGGAGATGCTGGTCACCGGCTGCATCAACGCCACCCAGGCGGCCAACCAGGCAGAATTCTCCCGGGAGAAGCAGGACAACAGGATCTACCAGCGGGTCCTGTGGCGGCTGATCAAGGAGCTCTGCTCCGTCAAGCACTGTGATTTTTGGATGGAAAGGGGAGCGGGGTTCCGAGGCGCCGTGGACCAGCCGGTGATGCTCTGCCTGCTGGTCTTCGTGTGGGGCCTCGTGAAATAAGCTGGAAAGGAGGCTGGTAACCCCAGCAAGGAGCCGGTGAGCAGTCTGCAGAGTCACCCAGTTCCCCATCCACACCCACCCCTGTGTATCCTGAAGGTACCAAAGAACAGTGCCTTGTCAGCATCTCAGATATCACCCCCAGGATCTCCCCTGGCGTTTGGTGGGCGGTATTCCCATTAAACATATGAGGACACTGAGGCTCAGAGAGGTGAAACAGGTCACCAGAGTCGCACAGCTAGAAAGTGGCAGAGCTGGGACCCAAGCACAGCCTAGCCTGGTGTTTCCTGCTCTGCCCCATCCCGGGGCTGTCTCGTGGTTTCTCTTTGGCTCGCATGGCCCAGATCCAACCGGGTTTCTCTAGCAAAACAGATTGAGGGGCAAATGAAGGGACCTGACCAACTGCTGTGTACTTTGATATCTTGGTGCGTGGAAGTCTAGTTTCATCCGTGTAGTTAACTCAGACATAATAAAGAAATTGATCTAAAATGGAAAGGAGGTGAGGCAAAGGCTCAGAAGTCGACTGTGAAGGCGCAATGCCAAGCCGGTGCCCAGAGCAGGTGAAATTTGCAGCTGGATCTCTGGGGCGTTATGGAGCTCTGTTTCACAAAAGGGTCAGCTCTTGCTGCTCCCCTGCCAGCCATGGCCGGTGTACCAAGAAAAACATCTTTAAATGACGCGTCTGCTTTTAATGCTCCCCTAGCCCCGTGTGCAGGTTTTTACGTGCATTCACATGAGCAGTTTTAAAGATGCCTCCTGTACTTGGCGCTCTCCACAATTGCTGTCAGTCCTTCTGACACCACTTTGGCTTTGGCATAGGCTGCCATCTCTGTAAATCACTTCTCACCACAAAAAGATAACCGCTCACCAGAAGGGTTGGAAAGAAACGGAGTCTCTAGGGAAGCCCAATAAAGAATCTGTGTCTGTCGTAAGCAAGAGCTGATACAGCGCTTACTAGGTTCAAAGATGTTAAAAATATGAATCTCTTTTAAGTAAAACATGAATCCAGTGCTCTAAGATGCTCTAACACCGCGTGGGATCCTTGCAGAGGCCCCCCAGGGGTTGTTGAGCTGCTGTGAGATGGCAGCTGCTGGGCGCTATCAGTTCTCTTCCTAGTAGGACCTGTGCAGAGGAAAAGCGTGCGCTCCGGGGTAATTTATCTGCTGTTCAGAGCATGAGTACTGGCGCGGAGCCTCTTGTGCTGAGTCCCCCCTGCTCTCAGCTCTTCTCAAGGACACAACCTTGGAAGGTTTTAAGGAGGAAAGATGGAGAACATGGGCGGGGCAGACAGCCTCCCACCCCATCCCGCCCCAGACACCCGCTGGCCTCTGACAGCACGGAGGACCCTACGCTCCCCGCTCCCCTCTGCTTCCCCGGCCCTGCTAGTTCTTGATCTGAGTGCAAAGCCTGGAGCTTATGTCTTGCATCCAATTTCTAAAATAATAAGAATGCTAACAGGGGCTGGAGACTGAGCTGTGTGGGTCTGGCGCCTGCCTCGCAAGTGCAGGGACCCGAGTGCAATCCCCGATACCAAAGAAGAAAGAGAGAAGCAAATAAAGAAAAAGTACTAAGAGGGTGAGGCTGGCACTGGGACTGCTGTGAGCTGAATTAGAGGGGCACACACAGCAGTGCCAGCAAAAGGATTCACTGCTGGTGAGTTGGGTTTTTAAGATATAAGTCTTGTTTTAAGTAAGAATGCATCAAAACTACAATAGAAATCTAAAACAAAAACTGACTCCAACCTTGGCATCTAATTAAGAAGGTTTTCATTTCCCCTCCTACTCCTTATCCATCTGTATAAACAAATGCCTGAATTTTCTTTCGATAGTAACACAGGTGAGCTTTTAGCTTCCGTCATTCAAGACTTTGTGTCCATCTTCCTATGATTTTGGGTTTCTTGTTTCCCCATCCCACCCCCGCTTTCCACCTTGGGGTGTAGCCCCCCTTTTAAAATGCTCAGCTAACCTGTCCTTTTACTCTGCTGCGCGGTATCCCATGCTGCAGATATACCATGTTTGATTTCATCATTTCCTTGTTGCTGGACCTTCAGACTGTTCCCAGTCTCAGCCCCCTGCAAACAATAAACATCCTTATGTGTACAGTCTTGCAATCTTGTGTTTTTATTTCTGCAGAACAGACTTGCACGTGCAGAATTTATGGAGCAAAGCCTGTGTGTCATTGGAACTTTACTAGACGTGACTCAGTTATGTTCCCACATAGCTAAAGAAATTCTATTCCCCCCAGCAGTGAAAGAAAGGCCTGAATTCCAGGGGTTCCTATGTCATTTCAGTATGCAATGCCACCTTTTCCACAAATGTTGCTTAAGCATCATCTCTCCTTTGCAGACAACATATCCAAAGCTTCCTAAATAACTCTGATCCTAAGGACCATTTGAATCTCCAAAAACGATTAGCAGTTCCCTTTCTTTGTTCGTATTTTTTTGTTTTGTTTTTGGTCTCTCTATGTAGCTGAGACTGACCTGGAACTCACTATGTAGCCTAGGGTAGTCTCGAACTCACAGCAATCCTCCTGCCTCAGCCTCCCGAGTGCTGGGATTACAGACGTGCACCACCATGCCCAGCAAGCAGTTCCCTTTCTAAACCTGGTTCCTAGCCCAAAATATCTGGCAGAGAAATGTGGTGATCAGGCAGTGAGGGTGTGGGCTCCTTTCTCCAGGCAGTGCGAGTGCACAGATCTGTGCTCCTGGCACCCAGAGACGGTAAGGTTTGGCCCTGGATTTTGACAAACTTAGCGAAGTTACACATGCAAGTATCTACTTCCCAGCAAGACCGTCCTCCAGATTTTAGGGGTCACAAGGAGCAGGCATGGAGCGTACTATCAGAGCAGCCCCACTCCCCTGCCCCTGAACTTGGACAGACGATCAGACCCCAACTCCCCCAGGATGCACCAGACAGTAAGAGAACCTCCACCCCGGGGCCCAGGGAGGGTGGCTTGAGTTTGGTTGGAGCCGCCCGCAGGCCCTCCGATCAGATCTCACACCAGTAACTGGCTTCAGGTGGCAGTGGCCACTGAGTGCGGGTACCGGGATGCTGCTTCACACAACGGTGTGGTCACCACTGACTCCTCTAGCAGGCTTGTTCTTCATTGCTGAATACGACCGGACAGGGACACCCGAGGCGCCCTGTGTTCCCACATAACGCGTTCTGGCTTCTGCCGGGGCCTCTGCTGAAGCGCTGACGGCAGGACCCAGGCTCACAGGCAGACAGCGTGGGGACGGACCACACAGCCAGGTGGGCGGTCAGGAGACCAGCTGCTCTGGGGCATCATCACGGCCAGCTCCAGTGTCCCCCCTGGAAGCCCAGCCGCTGCTCTGCTGAAAAGCAGCTCTCTCCACAAGCCAGGCTGGGACAGAGGCAGCCATGTGTTTGTCTGCCCTGTCCCATGGCCCAGGTCACAGAGGAGTGACACAAGGCTCTCTTCTTGCCTTGCTGCCAGCAGCAGACCCATTGTGGGGGAGGTAAGGGAGCCAGGTCCCCACTGGGAATGCACGACGCCATACAATGGAGAAAGTCCCCATTCCCTGCACAGTGGGAACAGGACACAAGCATCTTGAGACACGGCTAAGCCCATTCCAGACCATCCGACCTGCCTCGGAGAAGCCGACGTGGCTGTTCCCCTTGGTGAGAGGGAAGCCGGGCGCCCTTCACCTGGGGTTCTCTGCTCTGATTCCTGCCTCTGGACCCCAAAACCCTGAGACCTCCCTCACACACTGAGCCCCAGAATCAGCCACTGGGGTTACTCTGAGTTTATGTGAGAGGCCTCAGGCTGCAAAGAGCCTCGGGCACTGAGCACCCCTTCTTATCCTCTAAGGGAACCGCTCCCGAAAACTGCCCGTCCTCCAGTACTCAAGGGTCACTGTCTGCTGAAGACGCCTTCCCTGTACCCGAGTCTGAATTCCAGAAACTCCATTCATCCTCCCATCCCCGCCTGCCTTTGGGATTCCCCAATCTTATTTTCACGATAACCCTTTTGTGGAAAAGCATTGCCCTCTTAAACAATGCAGATTGTTTTAAGTCCAGCCGGCTTGGCTGTGAACTATGGGAGGAAGTTGGCAGGAGGCCAGAGTGGGACCAGAGGAAGCCGAGACAGACAGGTCAGGGCCAAGGAGCCAACACAGCCGGCCTCGCTGGGTAGAGGAGATGGGCGGGCGGGGGTCGTGACAGGCAGGGGAGAGACGTGGTGGGGGGAGCGCAGGGGAAAATCACAGACTCCTGGAGAAGGGTGCGTCCGGCAGGGGATGCACACCTAGGGGACTGGTTCAGCGCGAGGAGAGGAGCTCAAGGTGAACCAGGACACAGGGTCTGCACAGGGTCTGCCTGGCGGCAGCTGCATCCCTCTCATTGTGCTGGAATTCCCTAATCTATAAGCAAAGCTTCCATTAAAAACAAAAAAAACAAAAAAAAAACCTGGTTGTTTTGACTCAAGGCTGCTTAGCCACCAAGAATGAAATGGGTCTGGGGGACAGCTCAGTGGTAGAGTGCTCGCCTGGCACGCATGAGGCCCCGCTTGGATCCTCAGCACCTAGGTGAGGAAAAAGAAGAGCTCACAGCATCTCTTAAATGTTATTTATCCTTCCTGTACCCAAATAAAACCACATCAGCACCTCTGCCGTCCTGGAGGGTAGGTAGGAGGCCAAAGACTGATGGATTTTCCTTAGATTCCGACCCACTGGGAAGGGCTCCATCCCATCGACCCACCCAACATTCACAGCATTTTCTGGGTTCCCTGGCAGAAGAACAGACCGGAAGATGTTCCTCCTGGAATCTTGCCCCTTGTGTGGCCTGAGATCCTGCTCGCTCTCTCTCAGCTGCGGGGTGGGGTGCTGATCTGTGTGGAGGGACAGTTCCAGAAACCCAGCTGTCAGACTCTCGCCCCAGCAGGCCCGGAGTCGCCGTGGTCCATCTGTGTCCTCGGCACATGACTTACACTTATGACTTTTCCTCTGCCCACAGTCAGAACTCCTGTGTCCAGCACTTAGCAGATGTCCTTGCCCTCCTCTTGGGAGTCCTGCGGGCTCATCCATCACCTTCATTCCACGAGCCCTGACTGAGGTCCTACTGTGTGTCTGTCCACTCTGCTACAGCGTGAATGGTGGGCAGCAGAGGCACTCACCCTGCCGTCAGGGTGACACATTCGGGTGGCACAAGTGCGGCGAGTGTGATGAGAAGCGAACGGTACACCCGTTTATGGGGTGGGGGTAAAGGAGACAGAAGAGAGGCGAGCATCTCCGGAGCTGCCGTGACCCGCTGCAGCACGATTCGCAAGCTAAGTGCTGACCTTGCAGCCCTTACAGACACACACATTCCTCTACTCCTCCAGCAATCAGCCCTGCTGAGTCCGAGCTCAGGTCTTTCAGCTGGGGTGGGGCTGCTGCTGGAGAGAAGCCTGCCCCCCACTTCTCTGGCCCTCCTGCGCGACACCTGCCCGAGATGGGCTCAGCGCAGAGGAGACAGCACCTGGGGACACCACCAGGGTGCAGGGTCGTTTAGCCGGAAACACGCATTGACTTCCCGTCACAGGCCTGGTGCTCTCCGAGTGAATCACGGCCACCGCCTTCCAGGAGCTCACATCCCAGCTGGGAACCAGATAATGACCACACAGCAGGGGGAAGTGCTGGGCCTGGGACGAGCAAGAACGTCTCCAGACAGGGCCAGTCTGAGAAGTTGGATGGGGGCATGGTGTGGAGACACAAGAGAGACATGGGAGCACTGCAGAGACGGAGGTGAGGGGCCTGCAGTGCAGTCACAGTGCAAGTCGTTCAGTCGCGAGGATGTGGTACATGGAGAGGAGGCTGCAGAGCAACAACGATCCCACGGGCTGGAGTGAATTTCTGCGGGGCGCTCCGGTGATGCCAGCGCGGCTGGTGTGAGGATCTCGCTTTGCTTAGCAAGGTTGTAGGCAAGAGGGCAGCGAGGAGAGTGGAGGCCGAGGTCAGGCTCAAGTCCTAACCATGGAGCCGGTGACGGGGGAACACGGGAGGGGGCGCTGAGCCGAATCTGGAAGCTGCTGTTGGAGCTGTTCCCTTGGGACCCCGCTTCGTGTCAGCCCCCATGTCCCAATCACCTGCCTCACCCCTGCACCTCTAAAGGGACAGTGGAGGCCCTGGACTCCTCCCATGCCGGGATATCTCCTCCCTCCTCTGAGCGGCAGACCTGTGCAGTGTTACTGGACTTTGCAGATTTGGGCAGATTCGTGTTTAGTCACACTACCGTACAGGACGGCACTGAAGGCACAGACGGCCATGTAGGGACAGAACTTACTTCAGCTGGGCTCTGAAAGGCTGTCCCTGGAGTACATATTCAACACCTAAAGGGTGATGGCTTATATTTTTAAAGTTTACTGAGTTTTAGGAGACAGATGTGTGAAACAATGAGATACACACACACACACACACACACCCCTGAGGACATAGTGCTTTGGAGTTTCCAGAGCCCAGAATGATGGGGAATAACAGAGGTTTGAAGGGAACTGAAGGGCTATTGTGGGAGCTGGGGGGAGGGGGACACAGCTGGCCCTGGGGACATTAGAGACAAGACTTGGGCAGCGTCCAGTAAACAGTGAGAGAACAGGACAGCAAGGACAGGTCCTCCTCCAAGAGGGAACAACGTGGAGGAGATGATAATGTTACATACACACAGGCTCAGCCTGGAGAAGCCCCACAGAGACAGAGGGTAGGGAGGGGTGAGACGTGAAACAGCCAATGAGACACAGCAAACCTGGGGTTCAGGGCTCCCTGCCACCGGCCAGCATCTTAGGGAGACATCCCCGAGCCCCCACTGTGTGCTGACACCCAGCCAGGTCTGGGGACACAGAGACAGAGACCACACCCAAGGAGCCCCCGGCAGATCTGGAGTGATGGCCTGGAGTCTTCCGTGATTTCCTGTGTGACTAGGGCCACTGACAAGTGATATCTGGGGAGCCAGGGATTCAGTGGCGAGTTTTCCACCCAGTCATTGCGTTTGAGTTAAAACCTGACGATTAAATGGGAGGGAGCAAATCACAAACCCACTCCTGCGCTTCTGACCTGCTGCTGGGTACAAAGAGGTTCAACTACTTGGAAACACGGTTCGGTGATTTC